CAATCCAGGGCCCAGCCGGACGGGCACCGCCACCTTGAACCCCGCAGCAGGGCGGCCGGTCCCCGTACCCCCTACCCCCCAGGCCAGGCCAGGCCACGCAGGCTGAAGCCACCCCCGCTGGCCACGCATGTACCACCTCTGCCTTCCCTTCACCCACCAGGACACCCCGCCCACCACAGGTCCCCGTCAAAGAAGGAACAGATGGCCGGACTCCCCGGGGGACACAGAGAATTTGTCAGGAACGTTCTGGCCACGTGGGTGTTCCTACCACTGCACCAGTGTCCAAGCGAGGTAGCGAGAAAGAGATTCCGCCCTTTAAAACGCATCACAAAATAACATGTGACTGGGGGCCCGGCCAGTGTTGCTCAGTGGGTAGCGCGCCAGCCCTCGGACTGAAGAGTCCCGGGTTCGATTCCAGTCAAGGGCATGTACCCGGGTTGCAGGCTCCGTCCCCAGTAGGGGGTGGGCAGGAGGCGGCTGATCGGTGTTTCTCTCTCATCGCTGTTTCTCTCTAATCCCTCTCCCTTCCTCTCTGTAAAAAAAAAAAAAAATCAATGAAAATATATTTAAAAGAATCCTATATAATTAAAGGGTAATATGCAAATCTCCCCCTCTGGAGTTTGACCACTGGCTATGACATGCACTGACCACCAGGGGGCAGCGCGGAATGAAGGCAGGCCCCAGCCAGCAGCCGGAAGACCCCTCGGGATCAGCCCTGATCACCAGCCAGGTCTAGGGACACTACCTGTGCACGAATTTCGTGCACCGGGCCTCTAGTAATAAATAATAATAATAATAATAATAATGACACGTGGCTGGTCAGGTGGAGCTCCTGCTGCCCCTAAGCTAGAGGCAGAGCGGACAGGACAAGGGGCCATGGTCAACCCCAAGGCCGGCCGCGGGTCACAGCGGCCTCACGCTGGGATCTCAGGACACTGCCCGGAGGGGGAGGAAGCGCGCGGCCGAAGCTCAGAACAGTCCTCCCACTTTACTGCAGACGCGCCTTCCAGGGACACGCAGGAGCCCGGTTCTGCCACGTTTGGTCACCAACAAAGGAACGCGCGTGCCCCTTTCCTGGCTGAGCTATTCCCAGAACTAACTGTGCTCCAGACCCCGCACCACTAACTCAGTCATGGGCTATCGCTTTATTCCAACACCTGCTCAGAGGGCTGGGAACCTGGGACAACCTCCCCCTTCACCACCCCTTCCCTCTGGGGGAGCGCGCCTGCGGTCACTGGGCCCCGGGGCAGCCGCCGGCTCCAGCT